TCTCTCTCTCTCTCTCTCTCTCTCTCTCTCTCTCTCTCTCTCTCTCTCTCGCGCGCTCTCTCTCTCTGATATATTTTGAAATAAAATATCTCGTAATTTTATTAATTTTTTGATAATCATATCTTAATTAATATTTTTATGCGCATAACAATTAGATACACAGAAGTCCTTATATACATAATAGATACCTACATAAAATTCTTATATGTATAGAACAAAATAAAATACACGCGGCGTGATTAATCATCAAAAAATTAATAATACGATAATTGTATAATTTATTGGATATTTTATATTTTGTGTCAAAATGTGCCAGAATAAATATAAAATATTTTGTAAACTATTGATTGTTTTGTCTTTACCTTTAAATGCAGAATAATTAAAGAAATCATTATGTATAAAAACCATACTGTTTTATTTTACAAAGTAGCCATGACTTTCGTATAATCATGCTATAAATTAATTTTTTTCGAAAGTCAATTTTACTTATCATTATTTGTGCCCTATCAAGCCATACAATTTTTGTCTAAATATATTTTCTATTAGACCTAATTTAAGATAAAGATTAAAAAAAGACATTCTATATATTGTGATTTTAATTTTTCGATAATTAAATAAGTTTAATTCAATTATATTTACTTTTACACAATCAAAAATATCATAATAAATATTAAAAATCTTATGGTAAACTCTACAGAAAGAAATTAATAGTAATAAATAGGTAAGAAATTATTTAAAACATTTTAATAGAAAATTGATTATTAAAAATATATACGTAGATTCGATTTTTAATATATCTAAAAATTTTTATATATTTAATTCTTTATCATAAAATTAGCTGTTAATTATAGTAGTCTTTAAACTTTTAGAGTAAATATTATTCTATAAAGAGTGAATCTCACTCTTAAAAAAATTAAGCCACTTTTTCTAAGGCTGGTTCAAAAAAAATTTGGACTTTTTAGAGTAAGATTTCACTCCTAAGAATTTAGAGAGTAATTTTATCGAAATGATGCTTTAATATCCTGAACTCAGAATAATCTTTTATAAAATTATGTTATAATTATACAAGAGAATCATAATCATATGAGTTTACATCTATGTACCGTGAAAATTTATATGAAGATAGAAACAGAGAATGAGGAAATTTGAAAAGTGAAGGGCAAGGGAGGGAAAATGTAAGCACGTGCACATGTGTGCATGTACACGTACATTATTAAATAAGCGAAATGAGAAAATCAGATCATCAATGGGTTTAGGGACCCTTTTGCATGATCGAAATTAATTTAGTAATTGTTAATACTGTACCAGGCAATACGACACGTACATAGCGACATACCTGCTGTCGAATTCGCCAGACCGCTTAATGCTGAAACACAAAACACGTTCGCGATATTAGCAAAAGCAGAGTCGATAATATTATATAATCACGAAAAACACACAAAGCTTTGACGCAATTTTTCCGACGATGTCGCCAATATTATATTTTTAACTGCCACTAAACAATTTGTACAGTCAACAGCTTCACTTGTATCGAATTGATATGGTGAATCAAGTTGCAAGGTGAATTGGTTACGTCTGCAAAAAATATTTACAATCTTTATCTTTTTTTGTCACGTTGTAACATTACACATAATATAAACAATTTATTATTTGAATATTTCATTGGATAAAATAAGCCGATAAAAACAATTTTGTGTACAATAGTTGTAATAAATTGTGATAAAATTGACATTTACAATTAAGAAAAGTACAATAAGATATAATAATTTCTTAACAATCATATTTTCCATGTTTATTATAATTTAATGTGTAGTTAATAAATAATTCAATGTCAATTAATTTTATTAATTAAAAGATTTTTTCAAAAGACAATTTTCACTTTTTTATGGTACATACATATGTATATAGTTAAATAATTAAATATAAAATGAATTATTGAAGATATAATTATTGAAGACATAATTCGAGAAAATACTTATAATCACATTTCTAGATTTCTAATTTCTTATTTTGCAATATTAAGATTTACTATTTCTGTCGATTGGATTGTTCATTATAATTATTTGAAAAATTTGTTCCTATACAAATAGTACCTATACTGTACTCTTTATGTGTGAAACGCAACGAAGCAATCTGCATACTTGACTTACTTTGTTGTTGACTTTACATAAATTATACAAAAAGCGTTATGAGCATGCAAAAGATATGTTTTCTTAATATAGATGAGTGGTAATTACGCAATTAATTACGGAATCGTATACCTTACCTGGTTTTCTATAATACATTTATGGAATTCAATATACACACAATATGATGAAGATATAAATTACTAAAAATTTTGATACAATTTTGATTAATTTAATATCCTTCCTTGGTAATTTCTTATCACATTTCACAATATCACAAATAGATTAATTATTCTTTCTTAATTTAAATTTAATCAGTGAATTTTCTTAATAAATAGAAAAAGAAACTTATATATGTAGAAACAAACATAAATATTTTTAGTATAAATGTGAAAATAGACTTTTAATATACAAGTTCTTCCATAAATTTGAAATTTATATATATATATATTATTCAGATTCATAAATTTTGTTTATTTTTATTTAATGATTAAATCTGATATAAATGTTTCTTTTGAAATAACTTACAAAAATAGATAATATTTTAGAATAAAACAGTCAGAATGTCATTAATTTACCGATATTAATGTTATTGATATTAAAATGATAAAACAAGAAAATTCATAAAACTATATATTCTGACAATAATTTAATTTATCAAAATGCTATACCTATTAAAATACTAATTACACCATCATTTAATTAATTAACCAAATTCATTAGATATTATTTCGAAATTTTCTATTTTTTTAAAACATAATGCGACTCGTAAATGTGAAATTGAAATTACTTAGATGTTCATTTGTAGAACTATTATTTTCTTTTGACTGATTTCTAGAACAAATTTACTGCTTAATTGTACATATATTCTGCAACATCTTGCTCTCATCGTACCATCGTTATGATTAAAGGCTGTTAATACAGTTTGCGAAGATACATATAGACACGCGCAGTTGCATTATTACTGCCATTATAATCGCGGCACGACTTTGGCCGCTTTACCATGCATATATATAAAAGCGTGGACAGTTCACCGTTCGCCTGGAACTTTAACAACGCATGCAATCATTAAACTCCGTCTCTACCGCGAGTAACATACGTGACGCATGAGCATACAGGTGTTTTGTATAATCGGTAGAAGGACAATATAATATAGTCCAAAGTTATGCATATAATTCGAAGCATCGGATAGTTCCGCATGAAACCTACAGCTGTATATTAATGTACGATAATGTGTTCTGCGATTATGCGTCTCGCAAAATATTCTTTACTCACTGTTTGGCGACACCTGGAGATTGCCGTTTCCGCCGGTCATAGCTGCCAGAGTAACAAGGTTCTGCATACTCATTGGCGAGACACCCGCATTTGCTGCAATATAATATATCAGAACTTATTAGAAATTTTCAATGTTCTGTATACCGATGATGAACATAGCGTACTATTTAATAATTCGTAAAAAGAGCTTAAATAAAATTCTGCCTAATCCGAAATAATTTAACAACACACATAAAACAGTTTTAATTTTTCTAATGGCATTTTTTTGGGGGGGGGGGGAATATTCAAAACATTAATATTTTAATTAATGCATTAAGTATAAGTGTTTTAAAAATATTTACTTTGTTTAAGTCATGCTTTAAGTTCTCTTTTCATGTATATTAAAAGTAAACTATACGTCATTCTATGTATACGTTTAATTTGTGCATATATGAACTCATTGCGTGACACTAAAATATCATCAAATAACGTATGTAAGTTGAGCAGTAATAACTAATAAATACATGTATCAAAGTAAAGTCAATGATAGATTCGTATTGAGGTATGTATATCATCATCCTAGCATTTTTCCTGATCCCATTAAACAAAGAATTTTTATTTTTATTATTGCCTGATAAACTGGCGCAGGACGTTTCGTTATAACTTTCGAAAAGATATGACCCATGGGACACGATTGTACGCAGTGGAAGTTGGAGAATATAAGCGTGAAATGATATAATTTATTCTGACACTGATATGACTAGTGCGGACGAGTAATTTTAGCGAAGAAACGGATAAAGTCTCATTTTGCTAGCCCAAGCGGATCGATCATATTCTATGATACTTTACATCGAAATTTGATGGTGTGCAATCGAAATATTTTTGAGCAGAAATAAACTCTCTCCCAAGAGGAATTAAATATTTAAATTTACCCGTATTCAAGATTTACGTTTTTAACTTGTTCACGAAAATAGGTCTTCTATAAGTACTGGAACACTAGTATAGAGTATAGGGTCAAAAGGTGACGCGACAAAGTTAAACCTGCATATTTAAAAGGGATAAGTTTAAAAATTGCACACGTCAGTCATACTAATATTAGAAATGTGAAAGAATTGACGTAATGTATGATATAAATGTAAATGCATTAATGACTGAATATATTTTAAGAGTGTTATATAATACAACGAAAATTTCTTTTATTAATCATAAAAATTTACATTCGTGCAATATGTAAATAAAAATATGTAAATAAAAAATGTCAGTAACACATATCAAAAGAACAAAATAAAAAATGTTATCAACTTTTTTAAATATTATAATACAATTTTTCATAAAATTTTCTTGCGATCTTAAACTGAAAATAAGAAAGTAAAAGAATATATATTAATCTATTATTACATAATAATATTCACACAAACTAGCGTGAGATAATAGAGATGATAATTATTTATTAATTTCAATATATGTATTTATATACGTACATGCACTAATATTCACCTATAATTCAATAAAAGTTTAATAATTGTTGGAATAATGTTAATACGAATGGATAATAATTCCAATAATTTATGTATAACAATTGAACATCATCGTGTTGAAAATATTTAATCTCATTTCAAGGGAGATTGGATTTCTACTAATCTTATTTAAATCGTCATCGAAAATTGGAAACTAAATAAGCGGAAATAAAAAATTAATAATCGACACTGACCATACTCACCAGCAGTGTTGCTCAAAGACGCGAGGGTGGCTAAACTTTGCAAATTCGCAGGGTTGATTTCTGCTGGACTAGGTACAGCGGGGGGTGCTGCGTGCGCAGGTGTTGCCGCACCAAGGCCAAGGTGTTGTTGTAACAGTAACTGATGTTGTACATTCGACAGTGCATTAGCCGCTCCCGCGTTCGCGGCGACTGGAGTTGCGGCACTCGTCGTCGCCTGCAACTGTTGCAGAAGCTGCAACGATGTAGGCGCCAAAGTATGCGCATCATTCTATAAGTACAAACGTGAATAATAATCATTAATCACAGTCGCTGTTATATTTCACAAATTTATCATATTTATTTCAAAATTTTTATAAATAATCTGTAGAGATTATCCTATTTTAATTTTTTACCAAAAATCATTAATTTATTTAAATAGAATTAGTACAACAACTTTTATTCTTATAGAATTTGAAGATTATTAAATTTGTAATCAATTTTTCATTAAATTTCTGCTGAGAAAGGATCAATTTGCAAATTTGACAATGCTTGTGGAGCTTTATGCAAATCTCATGAAACGTTCAATAGAAACAAAGCGTTGATGCGAGTAGCCACTATACGTGTTCGAAGAATATGAATCATGTTCTTCAAAAAAACGTTTGAATTCTTTTTTTTAAATATATTTTACATAACAAAATTGAGATTACTATGTAGAAAGTCACAAAGGATAGATAATGCATACGAATGTAAGACGCTCAAACGATAGAGCCATGAAGATTTCTCATTCTCGATGCAAATGGAATCTTTGATATCGGCCAAAGAGCTTTTATTATAAAATATTAAGTATACGTACGGCTAGGTAATGCGGTGTGATGTTGACTCCCGCGATGTTCCAGAGATTCGACTGGAGTTGCTGCATCCTCTTCTGGTCCTTTTCCTTTTGCGTATCGGCGAATTTTACGACTAATGGCGACGAACAACCCTGAAAATTACACAATGCGTTGATACTGCGTAATTGTAAACAATATATAAAATATAAGAAATGTAAACAATCGTTTACATTGTTACAATTGTTTAACAAAAAATGTTGATTAACGTCGCAATTAAAATTTCAAACAAAAATTATGAACAAAAAATTTAATGCTTGCACACAGCAACAAATATTTAAATTATATAAAATTATATAATAGAGTTATAGTTTTTGAAATGTTTTTCATGTAATAATTTATATTATGATCTATAAAAAAGTTTTTTTGTGTTATTATCAATTCATCAATCTTGAAAGAATTATGAGACTTATAAAAATAAATTTTGCTGTGTCTCATAATAACAATTAAATATCTAAATGATTAGTATTTAAAAGAAAATGAATAAATAATTAGTTTTTCTATTTAATTTTTATTAAAATTCTAACTAAGAAATATTTATTTATTTTCAAAAGTGTATTAATATTTTAGTGATAATATCTCGCTTTATGTTAATCCAAATTCTCGAACAAATTTTTGCTATAATTTGACATTCCTTCCGTTAACTCAGAACATTTGCCGTATTCCGTACCGTGCATCGTTTTATACACCTGAATCCGACATATATTATTGGTTCAAGTCCAAGTTCAACATTGGCGTGAGAACGGGATTTGCCGGCGATCGAGTATTACATTGGTGGAAAGAGAAACTCATTCGACGATACGCGAGACGATATACACACGAATCGCGAGGTCGATGCACCATGTACAATGCGCCTGCAATTGGAGACGCGAAATCGGCGTGCCGGTTGTGCCGGTAGTGACGAATGGGCAAGTTCGAAGAACCTGCAGCCGGAAATATTCGTGATATTAAAGTAGAATTGCCTTCGTGCCCGTATGTCTTGGCAACACTCGCTTTTACCAGTCGAAATAGTACATTGCAAAGGCATATCGTCGCTAAATATATCTCATGAAGTGATTAATGAAGTTGTTAAGTATTTAAATGAGTATTTCTTATACTAATGGAACAAAACAGTATAGCTAACAACTGCATACCATGAAATCGCATTAGAGGAAATATCTTGATATTTGATACTTGAAATATTTAATATTATATAAACAGATAAATGGAAAAAGTTTATCTTTCACTTTAAAATTAAAAAAAGTCTTATGTATCATAACCTATGGCGCAAAAATATTCACAAAGAAATATGTTAATATATTTGTGTCGAAAATGAATCAAATAATATAATGAAGATATCAAATATATAATATTTAAGAAAGTATCAGTTTTATACCTAGAGAAAATATTTATAAATCTTTCAAAAGTCGCAATATAGGATCCATTGTTTCCTTGTAAAAATTTTTGTTAAGATTACAGTAAAAAGATAGAATATTCTTCGTTACAATATTGATAGTATTGTTTTACGATTTTCAAGCGATATGCTATGGAGATTCGGTAATTTACCTGTCCAATTCTTTCTCTCTAACGTTTGCGAAAGCTTACGAGAAGATAGCTGTAGTAGTATAGAGCAATGAAAGAAGGTGGAATGGAAAAGCTTGGCGAGCTTTGAATCGCGAAGGTGTCGACCAGTTCGCGGCCGTCTTTACTCTCTCGCTCGGTTTTAGTTACCCCGAGTTAAATCGGTATATTTCACTGAGGTGACTAGTCGGATTGTAGATACACACATGGATGTTTCGTCGAGTGACAATGGCATCGAGCCAATACATTCGACGACTCGGTTGAATTGCCATGAAAAGAAACGATCTACGAAGACTTTGTGTGCGACCCGCTTTGTGTCGTCATCTACCAGCCTTCACGATACTGTTTTCTCCGCTTAAAAGATCGAAGTACTCACGACCCAGTTCTTTCTTGCAATATAAATATGAGAGCAGATTGCATGTCCTCATTGAATTGCTCATTATTTCCACAAACTACTTTTCAAAGAAGTTTTCATTATTATCTTTCAGTTAATTGCAGAAAACGTAGATACAAAAAAAAAGTCAATGAAAGAATAAAAGACAAAATTAATATTATATGATAGATTAATGAACGGTACGTGATTAAAGAAGTAAGTAAATGAATGAAACATGTCATATTCTTATAAAAGCTGCATCATCTTTGTACGAAAAGTTGTCACTCAATTTATTATTTATAGAGATAGAATATTAGATCACGTTATTGCGATTATTAATCAAAATGTTATAGTAAAGCTGTTTAAGTTGTAATAAACTAGCTAATCATTTGAACACTTATTACCATGCTTTACGCGCAAAACTTAGAAATTCCTGATATCAAGACTTCAATACTTTGACAAATTAAATTATATTATTTGTATAAAATCTATAATTTTTTATTCGTCAAAATTAGGAATATTAATTAATTACAAAATTAATAGTTCCACTCATTTTAAGATTAATAACTAATTGTAAGATCAAATTTTTATTTAACTTTCAAGTGTAAGGTCGTATATCATCTAAAAATATTGTATAAAATATCTCCTTCGTTTATATTATAATTGTACTCACCTCCATTGTCTGGGAATGATGCAGAGCTTTGATGGCATTGATCGCGTACTGCTTACTAGCGAAGGTAACGAAGGCACAGGCTTTACTTTTCCCGGTGCTGTCCCTCAGCACCGAGCATTCCTCGATCATTCCGTAAGCGCTAAACATGTTCCTAACATCGTTTTCTGTGAATTTTTTCGATAGCATCCCAACGAACAGTTTGCGCTCTGTAACGATAAAGCATAACTCCCATTAGCAATTGTTTGCAGTGTCGCGTCATCATGAATCATGACAAAATGTGAAAAGGCGTATTTCGTTAATAACATGTGCGATCTTAATAATTCAATAATAACACCCGGAAGACAGTCGCCTTAAAAATAATACCTATGTGAATATTCATCCTTGATACAATTATATACTTAATTAGTTAGTGAGAAAACGTGTCTGGCTGAGTAATCATACAATCGAATGATTAACATAGCTATAGTCAATTGTCATTAGGAGAGAACGTATACTATTACAGAATACTATTACTGGAAAATTACGTAGTAGATAAATTAAGTGCATTACTCATTCTTATTGTGCTTCTTATAACTAGATAGTCCAATTAACTGATATTTTATGTAGTTATATATATATATATATAAATATCGAAGACAATTCAAAGATATAATCTTCCTTATTTCTTCTCTCCATTTTTTTATGTTTATCATGTCTATAATATTCAGAATCATTATTGATTATTTCATAAGTAGCATCAGCACTTTATATGTGCCATTATGATAATAGACTTTGCATAACATCAAAAGAATTAGAATATTAAACATGAAAAAAATTCTTTTATCAAGCATTACGTAAAACTATTTTTCTATTTTCTTTATATCGAGTTCTGGTTATCTAAACTTGTTAGCGAACTCATTAAAACTTTTATAAATGGCATTCATGATCAATTATCATTTATAACATAGAATGTCATGAATAAAGGAAGGATTAATATTCTACAGAAAAGGTTAACAATTACCATATAATATTCTTGACTGCAAGTAGCAGCATCAATTAATTGAAAAAAAAAACCGAGTGTTTTGTTCGATATTGACGTTCTTAAACTTTGACTCACGTCTCGAGTCGAGGTTACAAGTGACATCATGATTTCTCATCTCGCCCACCGTTTAATAAGCGTTTACGGATAATGCGGACAGTGGCTAGCTATGGACCATTTGACGATGGTGCCGACCACTGGAAGAGGCGACCTGGTCAATATTTGTTTAGGACCGAGAGAAAAGCTTCACCTAGAGAAAAGCCGCTTATGTAAATTCGGCATCGCGAGGGATAGGCTAGGCAAAATACTCGAATATATCTCTCGAGTCTATCCTTGTGTCTCTCATCCCTGTCACGCGTATTCAATTCTCTTGTGGATCTTCTCGGTGTTAACGCACCGCTTATTTTACAAGAACGTGGTGTGCATTAAAAAAATCGAAATAATAAAATTTCTCGTTGAAATTACGACATATTACGAACAATGCAAATTTTGCTTTTAAATTCAGATGATGCAGGATACAAATTTTTTCATCTTGTTATTAGAAAATTTGATTCTCAAAACTATGTGTGAATTAATGAAGCTGTACACTCTTTAATTAATAATTTTATGTATATTAATAATTTTATGTATTACATATATCCGAAGCTTTATAAATCAATATTTGCTCAGAAATTATAAAATCCATATGATAGTAACGTTTCGTTTTGTACAATCTACAGGATACATGAGTTTTTTTGGCAACAATGATTAAATCTGGATTTGTATTATCATTTCTGAGTATTCACTTTTGCATAAATGCTGCGTGTATTAGATATGCAATAGTGACTCGCATCATATTAATTAATATTTCAGTGCCCTAATAATATGGACTAATGTATTAATATTAATATCGAACTATGCAAATTCACCGGGCAACAAGAGGGCTAAACATGACGAGCATTAATATGTGAAAATTGTGGCTCGCTGTCAAATGTTGCTATCCAATTCGCGCGATATCAAAGGAACATGATGCTGCGTTTCAAGCTATGCGTAGCCATGCTAGAGCGAATTGAAATTGAGAATACATCGATTTATTGTGCGCGCAATGTATCCATAGAAGTTGATATCAAATTTATACGGTACAATTGCGTATGATCGTGTTTCCGGAAATCACCAATACGCTTTATGTGCAAATAATTACGGCCCATAATGCTGACAAATAATGCCATGACTGCATTTTATAATGCTTACTGTACAATGAAATACAATATATAAGAGATATTAATAATATAAAATATACTCTGCTTTGAAATTCGTTATTACATTTAGATAATATTATAATAAAAGTAACAATTTATTTTTATAGACTTGTACTAATAAATTATACAATATAAGACATATATTGCCTGATGAAATTCATTATTATATTTAAACAACAATAATAATAATATTATTTTAATATTAGTTTTTTATACAATAATAAATTTTTTTATTAATAAGGGTTATAACGTTATAGCGCGCTCTCTCTCTCTCCCTCTCTCTCCCTCTCCCTCTCTCTCTCCCCCTCTCTCTCTCTCTCTCCCCTCCCATCTATCTATCTATCTATCTATTTATCTATCTATCTATCTATCTATCTATCTATCTATCTCCTTGCGAATTATTCTCGATCAGTATTTTGTAGAAGCGATACTGATATGGGGGGCGGTACCAGTTTTCGAGCAATTGTAAATCCTAAAGCAAAGTCTTTTGCTTGGAAAATTTGATCGTCATCAATTCAATCTACCCGGATAAAAACTTTCTGTGACAATGATCCTCTTTGCGTTTAACGAAACGCATTTAACGGGTTGTGCCTAACCGAAATGTCCGAAACATAACGAAAAATGTACTGAAATCTGGGGATCAAGATTTGCCCAGAGGCTGATCCGTGCTGCGGGGAAGAGTAGAAAGGATGAGGAGAGCGCTGCAGGATATATCGGTCCAGACTACGGCAAACTCGTCCGCAGTTAACGATTTAATTAATTTCGCAGCCCCTAGCGACCGGATACCCGCGGTTGCCAACGACGGATCGGATTTCCCGCGGAAATCGAATGAAAATTTTAAGCCCTTTCCCTTCGCGGGGGAAAATACGGTGTAAAAAGGCAACCAGTTGGGGTAAGGGGGAGGGGGGCGGAAGACAAATTCTCCTCTCTTCCTCTCCCCTCCTGCGTTCCAGCGAAACTGCGGCTTTCGCGGAATGTTTATTAAATACCGAAGGTGCTGGTTTATGCCCTCCCCTTTTCCTTCTAAACGGACCGAAATTTTTCGTCCATTACTACCAAGAGGGACGGATATTATCCGTGTGCGAAAGTCAGTGTAACGAATATTTCGAGATCGATCAAAAGTTTAGTCGTGGTCAGATACGAAATAAAGAGGCATCCAAACCCTCTGTCATAGGGATTAATAATACGTATAATTTTTTTTTGACAGAAAAGAAAAATTTATACAAATTATTGATCAAGTAGAATGTGAAAAGAAAAATTTGAACAATTGGTAAAGAAAAATAAAAAAAGAAAAACAAAAACGAAAAAAGAAAATGAAGTTAATCGTCTTGTTAAAAAATTGAGATGAAATCAATGAAATTCCGTCATTCATAATGTCGTACTTCTAAATGTTAATAAGTTATAGTCAATTTGTTCGCTTTGGATTTCTATCTTTTATTATACATAGTCAATCGCAATTGTTTTAAAATGTATCAATAGTTTTAGAATATTTTTTCTTGAACCAGAACTTAATTAATTATATCAAAACTTTAAAAATAGAGTGCTAATTTTATAGGAGAATCTATATACATACATACAAAATATCCGTAAAGCAATATATATATATATATACACAATATAACTTTAACAATATAGCTGATTCTATTGTAGATAATGCTTCTCCTGCTCTGCCGTCGGGATACTGTCAAGCTTATTGTAATCACATTTAAGGCTATTAACGTGAGAATTAAAATAAGAGCGCGAAGGCACTGGTCTCTGTAACTGCATTTGTAATGTAATTCACGTGCAAACTAGATACGACGCAACGTCGGATCATGCAGGCGGATATGAGATGCAGATCGCGCCTGCTGGAATGTTTGCATCGCACCGAATATTCCGTTAGGATGTCTGCGGCACGTCGTCGCGGAATACGTGCATCAAAGTATTGCGCATAGTCCATCGATCGAGCTTTATAAGATCTGCATAATGAACAAACGCAATAATACAATTATAAATTAAAAGTACCATGTAGCTTTTCATGCTAGCATAAAATGGTTTGCTCAATTGTTCGTGATTATTAGTTAAAATTTGGAAAGTTACGGTACAGATGTAATTTAAACATGCTTTTATGTAAAAAGCAATCCGCAGAGAGAACACAAACTAATACTAATATTACATCAGTATTACAATTTCTTATTCGACGATGTAATTGGTATGTACAATATGTGTTATATTATATTCATCATATTGATGAGTAGAGAGTAATAATATTGATGTAATTAATTTTCCATAGGAACTAAGTCATTATTCAATTTTCATCTTACCTAAAATGTCTACGAAATTTAAAATAACTAAACAAATTTTTTATATTTATACCATTCGTACACGAGATAATTTTATAAGTATTAAGTAAAATGCAATTTACAATAAATTTATATGTAATAAAAATATTATATAGATCATAGTAAATAATCTTGATCGTTATCAAAGTCAGCATCAGAAAATTATTGATATAACAAAATGTTGCTTTTACTAGCTTCACGTGATGAAAAGCAATTTGTTTACATTCTGTAAGATTAGTCGATGTAATGATAATTTGCTCGCTTCCGTGAGAAAGCGTTTATTCAATACAAACAGGTGTCTGACTTCCACAAACGAAATGCTTGTGGCCAACCGGTGGCCAATGCGGTCACTTGTGTCGATTCGATCTTCTTCTATGCATCTCACGGGCCCATTCACAACTTGTGCAATTAAATCGCAACCTGCGAAACGTGATAAGTTTTTCAATGAATTTTCGAGCCAGGCATTTCAAATCGATCGCCGTTCGATGCTCCGATATGCAACCAGCAACCTTCCACGCCATCGTTCCTTACTCGATTTCGCCTTTTTCGCAGCACGATGCGCCGAAGCGCGAGACGTTGCGAATGAACCAACTTATAGGCCGGAAAAAAAGACCAACGCGAG